TGTGTACTTATTTGGTGGCAACACTGGAATGGAACTTTAATTTACTGATTGATTATTAATTGTTTTTACTATAAGCGTAGAGTGTAGTATATAATCTTGTGCTTCCACAGGCTAAGTGGAAAATTCCAATTCTCACCCATGTAATTGAAATCATCTCTCTAGTTCTTCTAATCGAAGAAACAAAAAAAGTACTTCATGGACTTATCTTCTGTGTCACGTGCCACCCACCCCTCTGGTCCTGGTGCAGGACGGTGTTTGGTGTTGATAAACCCACTGGTGTGCCTGGTACTCAACTGATCCCTGAAGAGGCACCAGCCATCAGTCATGAGTTCTCTTGAACTCCGAGCATCTCCCAGAACCCGCCACATGGTCTCTGGTGAACCAAGTGGAGGGACAGTGGATAGAGCACAGGGTTCATTCACTTCCCTGGCATTGTGCTGAATTGGTTCCTGCTATTTTAACAGTTTGGTTTTTGATGCCCTATCAAACTGAGATGTTAAGATCATTAAAATGTGGATTGTAAGTGACTGGGCAACAGAATAGCCAATTTAAATTAATAATACATTTAAGTAGATTCCTAAATTTAATTAAAATAATAAATGGAGGCTGCCTGGGAGCTTCAAGGTATCTTAGTTTTATGGCTTTTTGTTATTAAAACAATTAAGCAGCCAACTTAAGGGTAATTTTTAAAAACAAATACTAATGTGCAATCTTGGTCATCATTTGTACCTTCTCTTGATTATATCCTTTGCTTTTGGCTGCTATTAAATATTGCCTACATTTCTTGCTTGGAAAAACTGTTTTTTTCCTTATGCTCAATAGATCATGAATTGCATCATCCCACATGATTTTGGTTTTGGCACTTGGATTTTCTTGTCAGCAGTGAGTGGTGCTGCTAAGAGTTTTGAATTCTCCTTTCTCTACCTACCCTTGATCTCCAAAATACTGTTGATAGGGAACAGAAAGCCTAAACAATCACCCTGAAATCTCCTATCAAATTTGTGCCCTGCTCATAATAGCAGTGGGTCAGAATGAGCTGTGTTTTCCTTAGTCACAGAAAATCGTGCTCACTTCGAGTACAGTTGTCTGAATATGTGGTGACTCAGGAGAAAGTATTTTCCAAAGAATTTTGGTGTTTATTTTTCCGAAGAGCACTTAGTAAATTTCTTCTGTCCTGCCCCTCCCCTATTCCCCCCCCCCCCGCTTTTTTAACATTGGACTTCTGGTAGGATGGGGAAAGAATGGCAGAGACCTGGTTTCTGCTCTAGTCCTCATATTTACAGACCCCAATGGTTACTGCTAGGAGAGTGTCAGAATAGCCAGCACTGATATGTGAGTATGGTGTACCAGAGTCGCCCAATTTCTAAACACAGCTTCTAGAACCATATTGAACATGCAGATATGGTTACAGATATTTTTAAAAATTTCCCCAGATTTTCCCAATTTTCAACTCTACAGACATGCAGAACACAAAGAAAAGGTTTCCTCTTTGAAAACATTCCTAATTTTTTGTTCACATTTTGTTTTGAGAGTTTATGGAGTTATAGGTGGACCAAGGTTCACTTATTATAGCTTTTGAAATACCATTTTATTTTTGAATTTGGATGTCCTTAAGTATGTTGACATTTTCAAGCATTTCAGATAAAAAGGGAAATAGATTGATACAACTGATGAGATTTTGTGAGGTGGTCTGTTTTATCTCTCCTCTGTCCACCTGTTTTTCTGACTACTAGTGCCTGGCAAATGGTGCCTGGGGCTTGCTTCCTAGTTCCTGGGCCACTCTTTGCTGGACTCTTGGCCTGTCTCTGGGGTGAATACACTAGAAAGAGAATTCGTTTACAGCTTAAATAAAAGGCTTGTTTTGGAATTAGGAGAAGAAAAAGCAGGACGAAGGCTGAATTGGGCCCCTGATACACGTGGCATGGGAGAAAGCTGCGTGGGAAAGTCAGTGGCACTGGCTGCTTGTGTGACTCACGGCTCATACTCTGATAATCAAGTTTTTTACCCCTGGTTGCCCATACACTCTGATCTTTCAAAAATTTCCTCTGAGGCTGTATTGGATACGGCATCTTATCTTTTGTCCTCATTTACGTGTTCCTTCCTAAAATGACCTGTGACCAACTAGAAAAAGGGAGAGCTAGGATTTACAGCTTGGGCACCTGGACTTATGCTCCCAGTGTTTCTCCTCTGGATGTCAGATGCTGTGGGGGGCAGGATAACACACAGAACTAAAAAGTGGCAAAAAGTTAGCTAAAGGAGGTCTTTGATGAAATCTGTGTTAGGTCCCCAGTAACCCCCTGTGAAGTTAGATAGGCTTTAACAAGCTTCCACGAGCAGTTCCTCCTGTCATTCAGGGGTCCTGAGCCCTCATTTTCCATTAATGGGCTTTGCCTAGAATTAAGCGGCCATTCTAAATGGTGAATAATTTTGTTAGCTAAAGCCTCAGCCTCTCACCACCAGCCATGTGTCACTTACTTTGGAAGGCACTTTAGAGCAGATCCAGGGCTCCTCAGCATGTTCCCGCCCCCATCCTTTTAACATTTTGCAGCTTTCCCTGGGAAGAATTGCAAAGGAAACCAGGTGCTCCATGAAATACAGGCCCTGCTAATTATCAGAGTGCTTTTTCTTAATCGAGGTATAATTCACATACGATAAAATTCACCCTTTTAAAGTGTACACCTCATTGATTTTTAGTATATTCACAAGGTTGTGTAACTGTTAGCACTAATTTCAGAACATTTTCTTCACCCCAAAAAGAAATCCTGCACTCATTAGCAGTCATTCCCCATCTCGCATGCGCCCCCTCCCCCAGCCCCTGGCAACCACTAATCTACTTTTTATTGCAGAGTACTGTTTCATATTACACTGAAATCTGTTGTCCCTGTAACTTAATGGTTAGACGAAGGGGGAGGCAGGGGTGGAAGCTACATGAACACAAGAAGTTGAGTTTGGCCTGATAATGAGGACAGTTTATGACAAACACCCTTTTTAAAAAGTAAGTGCAACTCACTTGCAAAAGCATTACAGTTCCTATCTACCTTTTTCTTCTGTAACTTTTAGAATAATTAGAAATCAAATTGTGTAGGATCTTGTCAATCAAAACCAGAAAAACCAAGTAGCTTAAACAGATTGCAGACTTGGATATGTGTGTCAGGTGTGCCTCCTTACATCCTTTGGATTCCTGCCCATTGCGCTGGTAGAGCACCTGGAAAAGGTGAGAGGCGTGGGGACTCATTTTAAGGGGGAGGGTAAGTACCTTCAACAATGGAGTGGAGAGGAGAGTAGGGCCCTGGGAAGGGCTAACAAAATATCAAGTGTGACAGAGCCCTCAGGAACCTAGGGACATCTCCCTGGGCATTCCTGGATGGAAATAAAGATTTATTAGCTGAGATGTGTTCCTAGATGTTCAGCTCCCCTGGCCTATCCCAAATGGTTTCTTAAAGAACTTGAGTACTCGACCTTGTCCCAAAGTTTCCACTTTTTGTGTAGCTCTGTTTCTCAGTTGAAATACGACATGCTACTATCTTTTGTACAATTATTTGACAAGCAGTTCTAGGGACTGATGTACTTCCTTTCGGCCACTGACAGGAGAGCACAGAGGTTAGACTCAGAAGCCCAGGCTCCTTGGGCATGGACACTGGGGAAGCTGGAGAATATGTCCAGAAATCTAAGCCACCGGACTTGGGAGTAGTTTTTAGAGGTTTTACAATAAAAGGTGGTAATTGTTCAGTGCTGGTGCCCTTTTGTCTCCTGCCCTCCAGCTTTCATATTCTTGTATGTGACAGGTGCTGGTGACTTGAAAGATGTAGCTCTTTCTCCCTTGACTGGGCTGATAAAACAGGAGTGAATTATTTGTGATTAATGCATCAAAATGATGCGGTTTAAAAAGTGCTTTGAGTAGAGTTGAGTTCACTTGAAACAAGTGTCCTATTTCTGAAAAGATTAATTTCCTTCAAGGATGGTTACGATTTTTTGATAACAGATTTATATTCTCTTAAAACATAGGTTGGAGGAGTGGTTCAGAAGAATATTTTCTTCTTGATTGAATTATTCTGACCCTCTTCCCTTCTGTTTTTAAAATTCAGTAATGCCGGTCCTTCCCTCCAAAAATTCCCAATAGGGAAATTAATAAAGTAAAAATAAAACTCCTCTCACCTACCCTTACTTTTTACCCATTGGATTCCTATTGCTTCAGTAGCTACTGTATCGCTATTCGGTTTACTTCCTTCCAATTACTATTCGTTGAGCATATCGTCTGCATTGCTTTTACAATTGCTTATCCAAATCCTTTCAGTAACATCCCCAAGAGGTAAACTTTTCTTCTTCAGTAAAAAATGTTGCCAAGATATTTTATTATAAACCTTTGAGATGTGTTGACTTCCAGAGAGTCATCATGAATTGATGCACAGTATTGGACCTGTGTGCCATCTGATGAGCTCTCTGTAGTCTACTGATTGACTTCGATTGATTTTAAAAACTGTAAGACAGGGGCGCCTGGGTGGCTTAGTCGGTTAAGCGTCTGGCTTTCACTTAGGCCATGATCTCGCGGTTCGTGGGTTCGAGCCCCGCGTCGGGCTCTGTGCTGACTGCCAGCTCAGAGCCTGGAGCCTGTTTCAGTCTGTGACTCCCTCTCTCTCTGACCCTCCCCTGCTCATGCTGTCTCTCTCTCCTAGAAATAAAAATTAAAAATATTAAAAAAAAACAACTGTAAGACAATCTTTATTAATTTCTTTGAAATGTCATTTTAAGAAGAGGGGCCATATGTAGTACTGGGAGGTCCTTTGGGGAAATAGTCAGATTTGCTTTTAGGGTTGCTGCTCAGCCTCTCTGGTTTATGCGTCTTGGGGTATACTGGTTCAGAGTTAAAAATAGAGATCTAATTAAGATGAGTACCCTCTCTGCAAATAAGAACACTATTTCCATTAGTAAATTTTCTGTTTGCTTAACGTATTTTTTGTTGTTGCTCTGTTTTAATTTGTGTTTTTTTTTTTTTTAAACAGCAAGCCAGGGCTGAGCAAGAAGAAGAATTTATCAGTAACACTTTATTCAAGAAAATTCAGGCGTTACAGAAGGAGAAAGAAACCCTTGCTGTAAATTATGAGAAGGAAGAAGAGTTCCTCACTAATGAGCTCTCCAGAAAGTTGATGCAGGTAAATTTATCTTTTTTCACCTTACATCTTCTCTGCCTGTTTTCCTCTCTAGGAAAAAATGACTTTGGAGCGCCTGGGTGGCTCAGTCGGTTAGGCATCTGACTTTGGCTCAGGTCATGATCTCACCATTCGTGGATTCTAGCCCCACATTGGGCTCTGTGCTGACAGCCAGCTCAGAGCCTGGAGCCTGTTTCCGATTCTGTGTCTCCGTCTCTTTCTCTGACCCTCCCTTGCTCGCTCGCTCGCTCGCTCTCTCTCTCTCTCTCTCTCTCTCTCTCTCAGGAATAAATAAAAACACATTAAAAAAAAATCCCTTTGATTGAGCACTTGGCTTGAAACATTTACTAATGGGATTGTAGCTAAAGTTCTTTGGAGATTAAAAAGACCAGGTAAAGATGGAAGCAGTGTAATATTTAAGACTCCGGTTCCGTGACTCATTTGCTTAGGTAAAGTATTTTATACTGTGGGCACCTGGAGAAGTTTCAGATGAGCCTGAAGCCTTAGCACAGGAGTAATTGCTGTACGTAGTGTTTTGGAAATAGGATTAACACTAACTGGTTTTTCTTTCTCCTTTATATTGCTTCTGTAAGGGATACATAAACATTTTTGTAGCAGAAGTGGGTCTTTTGCACTAAAATATGAGTCTATAAAGTGAAATGTCCATTTGGGGGGAAAGATACAAGATATTTGTGATCTGTAGTTAAAATTACAATCAGGTGTGTTCAGATGGGTGCGTAATATGTTACTGAACAAATAAGTATCAGGTAGTTATTAAAACATTAATCATGGATAGGTTATAGAAGAGACAACGCAAAACATACAGGAAGGTTTGATTTTTCTCATTCAGAGCCTCTCCTTCCTTTTCTCCTTCCCCTCAAAGCTTACTAGTAAGTTACAAAAGTAAAACTTGTTTAGGTTAAATATTTTGTATGCTACTTAGTATGAATTTAAGAATAAGTAGGTGGGCGGGGGTGGGGGCACCTGGTTGGCTCAGTCAGTTGAGTGGCTGACTTCGGCTCAGGTCATGATCTCACAGTCTCAGTTGGAGTCCTGCGTCGGGCTCTGTGCTGACAGCTCAGAGCCTGGAGCCTGCTTTGGATTCTGTCTCCCTCTCTCTCTGCCCCTTCCCTGCTTATGCTCTCTCTCTTTCTCTCTCTCAAAAATAAACAAACATTTAAAAAAATTTTTTTAATTAAAAAAAAAAAAGAATAAGTAGGAAGAGTGCCTGGGGGGCTCAGTCTGTTGAGCTACTTACTTTGGCTCGGGTCATGATCTCATGGTTCGTGGGTTCGAGCCCCACGTTGGGCTCTGTGCTGATGGCTCAGAGCCTGGAGCCTGCTTCATATTCTGTCTCCCTCTCTCTTTGCCCCTCCCCAACTTGTGTGTGCATGTGTGCATGCGTGTGTGTGTGTACGCACGTGCGTGTACACTCTCAAAAATAAACATTAAAAAAATTTTAACAAGAATAAGTAGGATATTAAGTTTTCATTATTGAGCACAGGTTGTCCAAACTCACAAGCAGGTATAAAATTATTCCAGGAGTATGGGCTTTGTCAGATGAGAGTGAAAGCAAGGTAGACGGACCTCTTGTGTCCTCCATGCAGGGGCACCACTGACAGCTTCATTCATTGATTTGGTTGAAGTATGTATTTTGGTGAGGTTATAATAAAAGGATATTTAAGGCTTTTAAAAAACTTCCTAAATCCTTTTCTTACCTTCCAACATGGACAATCCTGTAAGAAAAGCTGGAAGCTTTGGTAAAGAAACTTTAATGTTAAGACTGGACAGTGGTCTAGTCAACTTTGACCCCATCTTTCTGCCTAATTACTGAATAAAGATACTGTTATTGTCTTACACAGAATTTGATTTAGATGGTGGCTGTTGAAATATGAAGAGTAGAGGTAGCCAAGCATTATTGCCCTGCAGAGATTTATGGCATAGTTTCTGCGTGGAACTCGTTATTGGTTCATGCACATTCCGATTTAGAGGAAAAAAAACGAAAGAGAAGGTTAGTTTGACCTTTGGCTCTCTCTCACCTTGGCAGCATCAGACAACTTATTCTGCATATTGCTTCTAGAACTAGAGGGCTACAATTTCGTTGTTTTTTATTTTAGTTTAGTGTGTAATCAGGTGCCCTAATTTTTAACACTGCAAGAAACCGTTTTTGTTTTCAATTTAAATGACTATTAGTATTTAGAGTCTTTTACCAAATAATTTATAAAGCAACCCAAACCTAGCCAGATCATACTTCTCTTCCCTATAAAAGATTCATCTTCACTATGAATGGTTCTATAGTATGTAGTTTATGATCATAACCCACCTTTTCCCCAAAGATATTGATGTCCCTTAAAATAAGTCACTAAAAGAACAGAAGAGCCATGTGCAACATAAAAGGAAGTTTGAATTTAAAGCTGTAACCTGGAGAAATATAGTAATTTTTCCCCCAATTCTTATATCTTAAAAAAAAAAAAAAAGTACTTTGGTGTACCTAGGTGGCTCAGTCAGTTAAGTGTCTGACTTCCACTCAGGTAATGATCTCACGGTCTGTGGGTTCAAGCTCTCTTTGTGCTCTGTGCTGACAGCTTGGAGCCTTGCAGCATGCTTCAGATTCTGTGTCTCTCTCTCTCTGCCCCTTCCCTGCTTGTGCTCTCTCTCTCTCAAAAATAAATAAACATTAAAAAAAATTTGTTTAAGGTAGTTTTATATTTGGTCAGGAGAAAAGTAATTTTCATACATTAAAAACTTAAAATTTTCCAGAGGCATGGATCTTTCTAAAGAGATTGAAGAATATACAAACTGAACAATGCAATAAACTGTTTTTTTGCCAAAAGTGGTATATAACGTGCAAGTGGCCAAATCAAAACAAGGAATATGGTATGAAGGTGTGATTCTGTTGTTAGGGGAACTCTTGGTAAGACCTTAGCTCGTTCATGGTCGAACTTGAAGAATCTGGACAAATGAATACTTAACATGTCTCTGAGACCATCTCAGGAATCCCAATTTGGTTCTTAGGCCGTGTGTGTACACACACACACACACACACACACACCCCTATATATGTAAACACACATATATGAAGTATACACACATACGTACACTGCAGCAAAATATACATAACATAAAATTTGTCATTTCACCCAGTTTTGAGTGTATAATGCAGTAACATAGGTACTCTGTTGTACAACCAATACCACTATCATCCCCAGAACTTGTTGAAAACGAAACTCTTTGTACCCATTAAACAGATACTCCTCATGCCCTCTTCCTGGTCCTTAGGCCCTTGAAAGGAGATGGATGGCAGGGAGTCAAGGTTAGGTCTCTGGCAAGTTCTAGGGCTATGTGTGTTCTGTGGCATGACAGACAATCTCTCACTTTAGACCTCCGGGATCACCACATACCGTTTTGTGGTAGAACCCTAGGCCCTCCACTGGTGGTGGCCAGGTGGAGAGAGCTCATTGAGCCACAGTGGGGAAGGGCTGCCACCCTCTGTTATCCTTCCCCCAGGCTTCCCTCAGGATTCCAGCCCCTTCTTTGTTGACGGCTTACATTTTCTGCCACCCAGTGTGGAAGAACGGATCTCCATCTGGAGATTTCTTAGACTAATTGGTACCAATAGACTTTTCTAATTGTGTAATTACTTTAATATGGCTCTCTAGGATGCTGCTTCTAGATAGACTTTTTTTTTTTTTTTTTTGGAAAAGCCTGAGAAGGGAAACTATATGCAGGTGTTCCTCATAGACAAATGAGTGAATTGACCTGTTCTGCATGAAAGTATTTCACCTTTTTCACCCCGAGGCCATTGAGAGGCTATTTGTAGAACAGTTTTGGTTTTGTCACCACGCTTTGACTGTTACCTCTCATAGTGATTGGACGGTGCTTTTATGTGCGTTTCAAAGAGATTCTTTGGATCTGAGGACAAACTGAGATTGTTTCTGTGGAGGAAACACTTCCCTTCCCATCTTCCATAACAGAACTGGTATCTAATATCTTTACAAATGGAAGTTTAAGTGTGGATGAAAGGAAATTCTTATGTCCTAGAAGAACAGGTTTGGGAGATAGCTTAAATATTTTCACATATGTTAACAAAAACAGACAAAAAGCATGCTTTCTCTCTTCTTTTGTATATATTCACTAGATGGCCAGAAAATTATACACTCATTTTATGGAAACTTGTTTGAAAAATATGCATCCTTTTGAGCCCAGACCATGGAGGTAATTATCTGATTGAGAACTGTCCCCAGAAGAACCTTCTGGTACTTTTGCTAAGTTCAACACAAGCCTGCATCTGAACCAAATTCAGCTTTGGAATACCTCAAAGAGAAGTTGTAGTTTAACCAGAATTTTTAATCAAAATTTACAAGAAATGTTTTGTGAGCAGTTCTTCATCAGATTTTGATATATAACATGTACATTAGAAAAAAAAATCTAAAAGACTATTTTCCAAAATGTTAGTTGTAATTATACTTGGGTGCTAAGCTTATGGGTTATGTTAATTTTCTTATATCCCTTCTTATCTTGTAAAAGCAACCTGCATTACTTTTGTAATTAGGAAATGTCTTATTTCCTAAAAAGGAAATTTAAAAATTTTGTTGCCTCTTTTATCCTTACCTTTTGGAACCTTCTGTGTCATTGGCTATGAGAGCTCAGAGTTCTATTTTAGCTGTGACTGTCATGCACCGTGCACTGAAGTCCACTGTAGACTTGGGTGCATTTACAAATGATAGAGGATTCTGGAATGCTATAATCATTAAGAACTAGTATTATCAGACTGGTTTAATAACTAGCTTAACTGTCTTGTCAGTCCTAATAGGATTTATTCCACTGGCCCTCAGTCTTAAAACTTTTTTTTTCTCTTTTAATAATTCTTAATTCCCCTGTTAACTACCAATAACCAATCATGCAAATTGGAAGATCTGTCATTGCTGAGATTGATAATGGCTTTAGCAATCCTGGATTTTTTTCACTTGCTTTGATGTGAGCCTGATGCATCAAGTTTACTT